GCGAAATGTATGCATACACGATATACAAAGTAAACAGTCATCAACTTTGATAGAATGAAAATTTCCGTTGATATATAGAACATTAAAGGCAGTCGTAGTTGTATTATCAAATGACTTTTGAATACCTTATTGGCGCAAAACGAGACCAAAAGAAGCTGTGCCTCAAACTTAGCGATCCCTGGCCATGCCCCGGCCGATTGCATTCATTATAAATACAAGCCACAGCTTGTTAGACTAGCTGTCATTAAGATGTTGTAAACCGGTGTTGGTGTCCGCTCAACACGTGCACAACTCAAACACATATACAACATCTTGCAGGTGGCTTGTAGTCTATCGAAATTGAGCACTTCTCAACAAGGCCGATTTGAGCAACAGAAAGCTGACAAACGTTAAGTGCTCTCATAGTAAGGTCGCTTTGTGTGTACGTTACCACTCATCAAGCTCTGATTCCGAATGAGAAGTACTTGGTCAGCTTTTTTTGTCATGATCCAACATCACAAGTGTCGCACTGTTCGAATACCAGACTTTCTGCGTTGGATTCATTTCCCGGTAATCGTCGTCCATGAAGAGGTGTCTTCGAGTATTTCGGTATGTAGCTTCGTCTACTACTTAGCATTTTCTTTGTAGTGATAGAAGTTGTTAAATGTCGGTGCAAAACAGAAAACCTTCCTCCAAATAATTAGAGCTAACGACTGCCTGCGACGAAGACCTCAAAACTTTCAAGGATATAAAGGTATTCCGAAGAAAACTGCGGGGAAATCCATTTTTTAAGACACAAGGAAGAAGAGAGGATTACAGAGCTGGAGACGATGATTTTATCTAAGGGTCTCAAGACCATGAAAGTAGGGAGATTTCTGATCAACGTATCCGTTGTGAGAGAATTCCACATATTTGAATAAGTAACTGAAATTCCGCAAGTCTAAAGGTTTCCAGTATGCTTTTGGAAATAATTCGCTTATTGCCAACTTTCTAACTCATTATGTTGCCGAGATGTTTCGAGAATTTTGCTAAGCGATAGGTCTAGGATGCTTATAAAATGAAGGAACGTTTTTCCCTTCCTTCTTGGGGACCGCGATAATCATTATTACGAGAACTTTTCGATTGCTGAAGTGCTTTAGACACTTTTAACAGTTCTTCTGTATCGGTGTTCGACTGAAAGAAATTCAAGGCTAATTCAACTCCTTAGCTTGTTTCAAATTTTCCGAACTATGAAAATCGTTATAGTGCTAGGTTCAAGTTATAGAGGGTCAACCTCTGAGTGGTGACGCACAAAAAAACATCTTCTACCAAACGAAAAAAAACTCGTTTGCGACTTTTCTAACCGTATCGTTATGTACAGAATGTAATCGTATCGTTATGTATAGCTGTGTACTCATAAAACCTTGCTTCCTTTTTTGATTCAGTAATAGCTACATCAAAGATTAAAACGTTGAGGCGTTGCTCAATTACTGTAGAATATTCAAAAAATTCAACTTCGCCAAGTATCGTTTAGATGACTAACACCTATCTTGCGTATAGAATCATCTGCGGTGACTTGTCGAAGTGTTTCTATACATTCAAATAAGTCTACCGCCAATTCACCAAAGCCGCAGAGAAGAAGGCGTGAGTAGCCTCGTACACGAGGTCAAACCAACACCCACATGTGCATTCGATAATGCCTCTAACCACTGCGCTATTCGTCTCTGGTAGGTACGCAAAGCGTTGTTAATTACATTGGCGGCTTGACTTGCTTTCCGATAGGTGGAATATTAAGAGTGCCTAAGCGCCTTTCAAATTTACAGAACAATTTTTGCCTTGTAACTCCTATGGTATATATTAGTTTACTTTGGTGACACTTCTAATCTTCACTTCTAATTTTCATCCTTATACCAATGTGAAACAACCTTATCATGAGTGGGTGATACTGCGTCTCGAATTGTACAGAATAGTCAAAATTCATGCGCACTGAGAATCCAGGTTATAATTATAGGTATGTCCTCCAGCAAGGGATTGGCTGAACCAAAAGGTATCGTGCTTATGATGAGTCTGCAAAGGCGGAACAGCTGTCTAGTACTGTATAAGTGCCATACCAGACCTTTAAAAAGGTTTAAAACATGTTATTGAATAATCAGACTACTACTGACTTCGAGCGAGCTCTAAAGAGCTCTGAAGGAACAGTCGAAAGTAAAGATATGATTTATTTCACCAGCCATAGATCACTGCAATGTCGGAGAATTTGTAACTCTTCATGCGGTGATTTTGTGCAGATTTCCTTATAAGTAGAGGGTGTATCCCGTTGCAAAGATTTGGGTGAACCAAAAGGCATCGTACTACTGATGAGCCTAGAAAGGCAAGAAAGGCGAAACAGCTGTCTAGTACTGTATAAGTGCCATACCAGACCTTATAAGAAGCTCAATAGATGTTATCAGATATCAGGTTATTGTTTTCGAGAGAGATCTATATGTTTGTATAAGCAATTGAAAGTAAAGGTACGTTTGGACATGTTTAATACAAAACTTAAGAATTTCCCTCTTGAAAATCTTCATGATTTTGTCAAAAGCTTTGAGGTAATAGAGGAAAGTTCTGGAGACATGGAGAGGAAAACATAAACTTCACGACAAAGGCATTTGGCAAAAGTAAAGAGAAAATCAATGACCTTCTAATTTCGTTCAATTCAACGGAATATTATCATGTTCAACCTATAATGATATTCATAACGAAAGTTCTGGTAGTCCTGAGTATCTGACCTTTTTGGTTTACTGCCCCATCCTGGTTAAGAATCAATCCTCACTCTACACTTACTGTAACCACGCAGTCGTTTCTCGACGTAAACTCTGCCCTTCAGAAGAACACGGAACACTTATTGTGAAGAGTAGGTACAGTTTATGACACCTCACCCCTAACCATTGCACTACTACGCCCTTACATTAAAGATAGCAGTAATAACTTCATATAAAGATTTAGTGGTACTTCCCCGTTATCTCCGTCCTGTTTTGGCCACTTGGAAAGAACTAGTTATTTTGAAGCTTTGGCAGCCTTCGATAGCTTAATTCTCCAAAACTTTGATGGTGTGCTTAATTTTTGAAGAAAATTTTTAAGTGTGCTGTGATGAAGATAAAATAGGATTCACACTCAGGCATTTTTTGCTGGACAAAGCTTCTCCTCTGAACTTGTAACAGTTATTCAATAGCTTAAATCTCGTTGATTTCAATGGTATGCTTTGTTTTGAAAAAATACTCTAAATGACGCGTAGCGACCAAAAAAGAAATTGGGGTTCGTACTCGGTGCACATTCTTTGTACCGGTGTATGTGCGAAATTTGGTGACATTGGCGCTAAGCCACCGCACTTTGTCGACATAACAGTTATTTGTAGCATAAATCACATGATTTTGAAGCTAAATATACTGAAACTTTATTCTACCACTATTTGAGCTTACGCTTTTCATTTTCATTTTAAATTGTTTGATAAACAAGAAGAAGACGCATTTTTCCCAAGAGGCTCAAACAGGGAAAGATATAGGAAATGATCCGATTCCGTGGTGTTCTTCACCAGTCTTTCGCTAATATAAGGGAACAGAAATTTGCGAAATCAACCAGCATAAATAGTTTTGTGTGTCGTGAAGTGATTTTTTTCGTTGGAACAACCTTCTTCAGATAAAGTTGTACTTCAACGTCGCTCGTTTGTCCTACTTGAAACTGTCAACAACTCACTTCCGCTGCATCTCGTCTCATACACTGTCTTTCACGGCATACTTAGATATGTCTTACAAAATTCAGAGTAATTTTACGACTTCAGTTGTCAGTATTAATTGATGTGTTTGAGGTTCAAATGCACTGCTCCTCCAATCAGACTACACTACTTGACCACTTACAAAAGTTCATAGAAGCGCGCGTGGCACAGTGAATAAAGGTGTTCAGCGTCGCACATCCATCCTTTCCAGGGTTGATGAATTGTACCAGACTTGCCTGGGGAGTTAAGCAGCATTGATTCGATACACTAGGCCAACGCGAGTCATTGTAAAAGCCGGATGTGCATTTAATCACCTGAAAATTGAAACCAAATGTATGGCGCATCTTTCAAAGATTGGTCAACGTCGAGAGCTTTATCCTTTCAGACAAAAATTCATATGTGTGCGACAAAATGACGATTTGCCATTCAACTATGGCAGCGCATCGCTCGTGTAGTTTTGCATGCTTCTGGAAATTTCCGTTGTGGATCCACGTTTAACAGCACACTCTGATCAGTGGTCGCTAGAATTTAGAGCTCGAGTGTCAGTATCTTCCTTATGCTACCAGTCTCGCAGGGAGTGTTTAGTCAAAGAACGAAAAGCACTGCAGCAAAATGTAAATTTTCTATGAAAGATATGTCATCCTCAAACAAAGAAAGTTCCACGTATTCCGACCATGAGATGCCTAAAGTGAAACCTAAAGTGAAAAGTGAGAGTTGTGAAACCTAATGTCTCAATCGTTTTGCTTTAATAGGATAACGACTAGAAGTGATGCAATGCAGTGTAATATCACATTGAATTCCATTTTCGCTATAGCTCCGAGTCATTTTTTTACCTTTAGGTGATAGCCTGTAATGTCTGATATGCTTACTTAAAGCAGTCACGCATTTTTCATCTGTAATTCTCAAAATTTCTTTGGCTACTCAATGCAGATCTAAATTAGTCGGGTATATTCGAATCGTATAAGATCTGTGTTTGTCAATGTCTGCCATGCGGCCTGACTTGATCATCACTTGCTCTCCTGGTAATTAAATCTTTCATTTCTTACCAGGTTGGTAATTACTGATGTTGGTGGTGAATGTGCTGATCGCCGGGCATTATTAAGTGAATTGTCAACATAGACTACTTATATTGATCAAAAAAAGGGCTACGATTTCACGTCTGATTACAAAATGAAAATAAAAAAATGCTATTATAAAGTATCACTCCAAGTTTGTAGTGTTTTTATGCTTTTTTCGCAGTGTTACGATGTTTCATATACTTTTAACAGAATTGAGTGGTGAGCCAAAATACGACCTCAGACGGGAGTCGAACCAGCGTCTCATCCATAAAGGGAACGCCTGCTAACACTACACCACCGAGGTAATTCATACCACCACTCATTCTTCAATATCTTTATGATAGCCGTCACCACTAACCTTTCAACAAGTTTGGTCGTGTATGCGATGTCGCATTATATATCTAGTTGAGCTGACAGCCACTGCGATAAGTAATAGTTGGTGGCTGACGGCTATCATAGATATATTGAAGAATGAGTGGTGGTGTGAATGTACCTCGGTGGTGTAGTATAGCACGCGTCCTCGGTATGGATAAGACGTGGGTCTGAGGTCGTATTCTTTCTCACCACTCAATTCTCTTAGGATTACGAACTATAATATAAGATGAAATAATAAAAACAGCTTGGGACAATTACATCTATTGATGACTTTCTAAGTGTGCCTGAATGCTCGGATTACTGACGTGCAAGGCATATGTGTTTCAAATAATCACCTTCTCAATGCTCCCATCGAAGCTCATTGAAACTTCTCGATCTCGAAAAACCTCCTCTAGCACCTATAACAAATTTGCCTGGGACCGTCTAGTAAAAAGTCGATAGATTGGAGAAAGTTCGATGTGGGTGAGTTGCCATTATTCCATCACAGCATGTTAATTCCACCACTAACATTCGGGGATCAATAAATAGCCACTGGACGCAGTGAACGAATCGCTAATGAGGTTAAGTAGCATATGTGAGCGTAGCTCATAGGAGTGTGGTGGTGGTGAAGTTTAGTTAATAAGAAGCAACTAGGTAAGTGAGAAGTGATCATTCCCTTTGTGCTCAACAACCACCCTTTCGATCACTGTATATTAAAGCTAATGCCCTGCTAAACGGTGCGTGAAGAGCAGTGACATTGGTGTCGTCCAGTCCCCCTAGGACTTGATTTTACTCCATCTTATGGTCAGTCAGATAGGTCGGCGGGAGATTCGATTCGACGATCATTCAGTGATATTTTATACTGAATACCAAATTTTCTCAAGTGCTGCCAATCCGGCATACGAAGCCAAAGGCGTTAGCGGATAACGGATGAATCGAATGCAGGAGTCCAGCACTCTAGGATACGTACATTATGTGTGAGCTCTGACCGTGTTCACAAAGATATCTTGTTGTATCGCTAATCCTACAAAAGTCGCCACACAGTTATTCATTGTTGCTTGCGGCCAACGTTTCGACGCCTTCGCTTTGCTCAGAGATAGTATAACGGTGCTGGCTGGCGACTTGGATGACTCCAACCGTGAGGTGTTTCATCCACTCGATTCGCACTCGACTCAACTCACTGCTCAGACGCAATAAAGCGTCTGAACGTTACTTAAGAGGAAAGTAACCTCGTGTCAGCTTATCGATGCAGCAAGATATTGACTGTCTTTGGCTATGTTAAGTGAAAGTCAGTGCTCAGAGGTTTATCTGAACTGCTGCTGTGATAGACGAACTTATTCTAATTTCCACATGTTCAGAAATCCCTCAAGATATTGAACTACCTCGAACCGAACGACGTATGTGGATACATTACGTTCTAGAAATTAACTGCTTACGTTACGTTCGTATTCTCGATCGTAGAGCACGTTTACAATCATATCACTCATTTCCCTCTAAGTACAAAAATTATTGTGTTATTTCTTCAAAAATCAGATTCAATAACGAATGATTTTCCTAATGTAAAAATCGGGAGTGGTTTCACCTTCCGAACGGGAACTGTCTCAGTCCGATTTCAGAGGAACAATCTGAGTCAAAATATGAAATCTCACCTCAAGGTAGATGGACAAACGATCGTGTTTAAGTTCTGCTATGCAACAGAATATCAAAGCGTAATCGTTTTAACATAAATCAATTACTGAGAAAACTTTGCTCTGATGAGATTAATCAAGGATTAGATGGAACAGCAAAAAAGTGAATAGAAGAGATCGTAAGAATAAGCCGGATATTTTGAAAAAATAGGAGAAAATGGAAGACAATTTTTTATCTTTTTGGTATAACATTATAAGGAAGGACGAACATGATTGCAATCATTGCGCAATCGTTGTGGTGATCAATCATTGGCTCTCAAAAAGAGTGAAATCACGATCACCTTCCTATATGGCTGATTTTTGATAGCTCGCTTAAGAATACAATATAATCTGATAGCGTATTTCAGGCCTTCCAAGGATCTGGTCTGGCACTTCGAATGCTAGACATACGTTTCGACCTTCACGTCAGGTCTCATCAGAAGCACATGGCTTTCGATTCAACCAATCCCCTACATATAAGGGTCGGCGCCGAACATCTTACATTGCACGTCAGGCAAAAACGCCAGGTGATCTTTTCACCTAGCATGCACTGTGTCTTGTTCGACGTCAATACACTTATATGTAGCGTTTGGCTGAACCGAACGCTATGTGGCACTGATGATGCCAGACATGGAAGCCAAAGCGTACGTCTAACATTCGAAGTGCCATGCCAGACCACTGAAAGGCTTAAAATATGCTACCAGAATTCAGGAGTCTCAAAGATTTTTTTCTGTAATTAGAAAGATCTTTTGTCGTTTCAACAAAATTAGTTCTGTAGTAACCAGAGTTCAGTGAATTGTTGACAGGCCCACACAATACTAGAAAAGCACCCACTGGATCTCATCATGCCAAAATAAACGCGAAATTAATAAAGCTTTCTCGACGAAGAGCGTAAGAAATTTTATCTCGAATAAAGGTTGAAAACTTATTGTTCTCTGATGATGGTTGATCTCTAAGTAATATATCGGCACGAAACTACTGATGTTCCTTTATAAGTGATGCAGAATGATGAGTTTACATAAAAATACGTTAACGTGAATTAGAGCGAAATATTCATTACGAATATCATCCACTGCTGCTTTTTCGTTCAAAAAACCATTGTATTTCACATATAACAATCAAGTGCTAGCTTTAATCTAATATTTCGAGCCATATTCTTTCTGGTCAATAGTAATTCTAGAGGAGCACCCATTAAAAGCGTTCTATAACAATTCACTTTGACAACTTCGTTAATGGCATGGAAAGGAAGTGAGAATAACCGGAGACGTGGGAATGGTGAGCAATTATGGCTGAACGACTGGCCGAGTGTATTGCCTCGAGAGTGGAATGCGAGAGATGCAATATTACAAGAAATTTTACCTCTTTCGAAAATCACTATGTATTTTTTTGTATGCGAAACTAATTAACTTACTTATCATTACTTTGACTGCATATTTTGGTTTTTTAATCTACAGATCTCTTTTCGAAAAGTATACAGAAGTGAAACTGATCCACGAAGTGAATTATACGGAGAAGATAAAGACAATTTGGAAAAAAAATGGTAAAAAAAAAAGTCAGGCTTACTTGTAATTCACAGCCTGTTTGGTGTATTCGAAGATGTCGTGACATTGATAAGTAGAACAGAACCTGACTTTTACTCGGAACAATGAAGGATTTCTTACTGAATATGTTCACAATCTCTTCCTCAACGTCGTCTTGTTCGCGAGATGGGCATGGCTGAAAACGGACTGCCTAATGAGGGTTCTCCGAATTCTAACGGATTTGGCATGGTCATATCAGGGCATGCTCCGTTCGTAAGCCCCATTAAATGAACTTAATAGCCTTATATGACTGAGGTTTCTAGTAAAGAGAAGATAAAAATCAATCAAACCTTCTAACTCACATAAATTTTACCTTCTTATTATTTTCGTCACAAATTCCCCCGGTTGAAATTCATTCTAAGATGAAACGTTGCACGCGTTTTCGAGATTATCACTTCATTGCAAAAAAGGCACAGTATTTATGAAGACATCATAAAATTAAGAGGCTAGAAAAAAGTTTTGGATAGGTGAGCTTCACCATAAACGTTCTAGCTATTTTTTAAAAGCTTCGCCAAATTAATTTATTTGAACCGAATCATTCATACTTGCATAACCGACGAGCTTTCGACGATGCCACTTTGTTCGTCGATCGTTTCACGATATTCCTTCGGAGGTGGAGGAAACGTACCGTTTACTGCATTCTCAAACCTTAAATCAGACCTTTTTTATTCTATAGTTCTTAGCCAACATGTCATGTGGTCTGGTAAGGGCTCTTGTACAGCTCGAGACACGTGTTTCGTCCTTACAGACTCATCAGCCGGGCAGACATGTTGGCTCAAATAATGATGAAAGGATATATTGAAATTTGAGCGTGGTCTAAACAAAGCACTCGAGATAAAGGTATAACTATAGTTCTTAGTTCAATAGTGCTAAAAACGAAATGCTGAGCATCTTATAGGTGCTCTTCGTCAGTCTATATTCTACTACCAATGAGTATATCTCATATAATCGGCATCGTAGATCCGCTTTTTGAGAGGAAATTCCACGACATTCATAATAATAGATCGAAGAATCCATTGATTTTTTAAAAGTTCGCAGCATATATTTCTATTTTGGTATAGTACCTGCTCGTGTTGAAAGCAAAATCATGGATTTGATGACAGCTGTACTCAACGTGGTTCGAAAACCAAGTTCTCTCTGTCAATGGCAGGGTTCATTTTCTTTTGGGAATAAGGTAACATAATTCAAACGTGCGATGAGGCTGATGAGGTCACGGTGCACATGCCATCAAATTTTTTCCTTATATGGTTGTCATTGGGTTTCTCTGCGAGGAAAGTGATTACTGGCGAATCACATAGCACCTTCAGTTCTCACAAGTGATCTTTAGCGAGTCGTGGCCAGCAGGGATCTTAGAACGGATGCAGTAAATTAACTTCCGCTTTTCCTCTGAATCATCAACGCCAACAGCCTAATTATCCATATAACGAACCACTGACATTATTACAAAAACTGTATTGGATCCGTAATCGCTCAGTCGTCACCGCAGAAAATTTTGAACAAAAAACGTTCGTTATAAAAAATGCAAAGGCATCTCAGAAATAGTAATGATAATTGCCGTGTTAAGGTCGTATAAGCTCGACCACATAGAAACTTAACAACGAATAACAATGATAAGAATATTAAATAATAGTAATAATATCAGATTGTTCATAAATTTTGGCACCAAAGCAATAAACACCAAATTTATGAACCACAAGTAATCA